TACTTTATTTACAGAACTTTCTTTTAAATGTATTCTGTATTCTATTTATTTTAAATACTTTACAGAAGAAAATGTCCATTTAAGTTTGTCTCTTTCGTTCCTCGCTGTGCTCCACATGTACCAGCAATTGTTAACCAATCAGAAGTGGCCCATGATAGAAGGTGATAGACAGATTGATCCAATCACCTGCCAAGTACTTTTGAAAGTGCCTGCCCTTTCCAAATGGCTTCCAATGGAGCTTTCCTAGATGGTTTGGTGAAACAAACCATCTGAGTCAGGTTAGTGATGCTCCATCACATGTTTATCTATCTATCACAGGGTGAATCTTAAACTGAAGCTTGACTTTAAAGCAACCCAAAGGAAGTTTCATGTAAGCTTAGTTCTTTCACTCGTAGCTCGGGCTGCGGGGGTGCTAGAGACGGGAGCATGTTGATGCGACCTTGCTAGCCGAATATATGGCCGCATTTTACAATAAACTTCCGTTGGGTCGCTAAAAAACAAATATCGCGAATCGCAATCGCAATATTTGTCCGAAAAATCGCAATTCGATTTTTTTTTTCCCCCAAAATCGTGCAGCCCTACCTGGAACCTCTTTCTCTCTCTTACAGTCTCTCCCAACCCTGTCTACTTCTTTGCACTGAGCCAGTTGCTCAAACAGACTAGCCTGTTTACAGTTGTCGGCGAAATGCCGCTCCTCTGTCTTCATAACACTCAAAGCATGAGACGTTCCCACTGTGGGTCAAAATAATGCGCTGTGATGTGCAGTCGACACATTGGATGCGATCCGAATTATCTAACGCAGCCCCTCGCCCTCCACAATGTTAAGCTGTAGCCACCCATTTAGCTATCGCTGTTAAAAGCGATATGAGACGCCGTGTCCAGGCGTCTCCCCGACAAACTTTCAAGCGTGGTCTGCCGCAAGCGAGCGGCAGGAGCGGGGCTGTCAGCATCAGCTGTGTGCTTGGCTTGCTGTTTAAAACACCTTTTTTTGTATCCATATCTCTCGCTAGAATCTGCCACCATCCAACTAACAACAACAACAACAACGTCATGCCTTTGGGCTCTGAAACTACGGGGCGGGCCGAGGACAAATACACGTGTTAATCGCACGTTAAAATAATTAGTAGCGTTAATGTTTTTTTGTTATTAACGCGTTAATCTGACAGCCCTAGATTACACACATTGGTTTCCTTTTTTAACTGTATTAATGAAACATTTAATCTTAAATAAATACAATATAGTCCGATACATTAATCTCATTTATATCATCATGATGACACGTGCAAGTCCTGCTATATCTCTTTTGTCCAACAATGATTTTGTCCTGTGTGCTTAGACCTGAGCACTCCTTTAAAGATAATTTATCAATTTAGCATCATCTAGGAATTCTGGCTATGTGCACACAAGTAAACGAGTGCATTCTCAGATACTATTGGCTTTCACACTGCGATGTTTCCTGATGGTTATCAGGAAACTTGAGGCTCTAATTGATTTAGATCAATTACAGCTATTCTCGCTCATGCCAAGAGAGGTCAAAAGCATTCTGCACACAAATTGTGCTGCAGATCTGAATTAAGGCTTTGCAGGAGATGTATGCTTGTCAAATCAACACTTAAGCTACAGCTTAAACATCTTTAGGTCAAATGGATAAGTCAAAAGCACAACAATTTTCTCTTTTTTTCACTATAGTCAGGGCTGCACATAACTGGTGCGCAGGTGCGCATGTGCACCCCCCGCCAAAAAAGAGCACCGGATCATTTGAAAAAAGGCGCATTTGCGCATCAACATTGAGAGAGAGAAAAGAGAGAAGCCCCCCCCCCCCGTTCATGAAGTCAAGTACCCCTCAAAAGGTCCGGTGTATTTCATTTTAAGGATGCGCACCAAGCAACATCTCCAGGTGCTCCTTTGAGAACCAGGGCAAAACAGTTATGTGCACCCCTGATTATAGTGCTAATTACGTTCTACTTTACTTGTTCAGTTGTGTTCATTTCAAGTTAAAAGTGAGCATCTCATCTCAGTTGGTAGAACTGGCAGCCCATGTACTGGTGCTCGGTACCAATTCAGAGGACCCTGGTTTGAATTCAGCCGGAATCTGCCACGTATCATCCCCTCTGTCTCCCCCTTTTAAATACTGTCCCTTCATTAAAGGCACTGGATGTCCAAACATATATTAAATAAAGTAAAATAAATAATGAGCATAATGCTGATCAGAAAGAAACCACTAGTTCAAACCGGAGAGACGTGATGTAAGAATTACATATTTATTGTTTACACGTCATATGAATGAAATGATTGCCATGATAATACAACAGGAGAATGTAATGGTGTTTGGCGATTAGGCCCCGGTTTGCAGGATAATCATTCAAGAGGGAAAGAACCGCTCCGATGAAATCCCCGGGGTCTAGACACTGGTGGTGGTGATGAGTAGGTGAGACCGGTCTGAAGGAGGAAGGTTTAGCTTTGTCCTGAAGGAGACAGGAGGCGAGAGGGGTGGAGGCGGGTTGCGTGTGATCATCTGCAATGACAACTGACAGGGAGGAAGAGCAGGCATTTAAGGATTTTAGCATGTGCAGCGATTGGCTGCTGAGGGGTGACGCCCTCGTATTTAATGAGGGGAGAAGGGAGCCATTGAGTGACGTGTAAGTGACTCGTGTTAGGTCTTCCTTATTGAACTTGCGCTAAAGCTTTCATTTGTAACCCAATTACCAACAATTGTCAGCTTGACATTTTAAGTAACACAACTGTTTAAGCTCCAACAACAAATGGAATTCAGCAGTTGTTGGACTGGAACCTTGGAAGCTATGGCCCTAGGTTTAGACTAAATCAGGGATGATCCAATACAGAACATAAATTAGCATCTGTTATGGGCCATGCAGATAGATATCAGAACACTGAAGCCAAGAGTACTCAACATGACCTTGTATTAGGGGTGTAACGGTATCCGTATTCGTCCCGTACCGTCACGGTTCGGACGTCGCGGTTCGGACGTCACGGTTCGGACGTCACGGTTCGCCCCATTGCAGTCACACGACGAATACGCCTTTATTTTACCAGTGGGAAAAAAATCTGTCATTCAGGGCAATATCCATTACACTATTTATAATCCAGGGGGCGGTATTGCGCCTAAAAGCTGTTTGCCAGCCACCCTTAAACAACAAATGAAGAACAAGAAGAAAAACAACAAAACGAAAGAAATACAAGAAGAAAAAAAGTTAGTATGGCGATTTCAGATAACACACAGGAGCTAGAGCCCACCTGCTTCTTTTAAATCAGCTGTGTGGGAACATTTCGGGTTCCCTGCACTGTAAAACTTAACAAGTTGTGGTAACTTAAAAAAAGTATGCAAACTCGTTGCCTCACTTTAAGTAAGTTAAGTTAGAATGGTGAGTACGAACAACTTGTGTATTCTAAGTGTGCTTTAATTAATTTTGAGAAGTACAATGGACACAAACCTTTTAAGTTATGTAAACTTATTAACTTTATTTTGTGTGAACTCAATGAACAAATTAAACCCTACTTAAATAAATAAATCACCAGAACTTAACCCTTTTAAATTCTACTAACTCATAATTTCTAAGGTTTACTAATTAAAAATTGAACAAACTAATTACTGCTAACTAAGATAATTGTACTACAACAAATCTTTAAACACATTGTGTAAACTCCAACAATCTCCAAAAATAATGCATTCAAAACACTAATTGATTCAGTTGCAATATAACATTTATTTGGATACATTTAAGTGCCAACAAAAAGTCATTCAACCAACATTTTGATCTGAGCCGAACAATAAACAAGGGTAATTATAAAAAAATTAAAATCTATAATGACTGTATAAAAAAAATACTTAAAAAAAACAAACATTGTACTTTGCTCAACAATTAACAGTTATAACAGTTTCCTCAGAGTAACAAGTAACAAACAAGTAACAGGTGCAACTTTTTTAAGTGCCAAGTTCTATGTGATAGTTGATGACTATCTTGACTAAGGTCTATTCCAGTAGAGCGTTTCTCAAAGTTAGAAGTTTAGGTGAGAGGGTTTTAGTTCCCAGTCCAAGCATCACTGTTTGCACGAACCTCAGAGTATTTGCAATGCATTTTGGATAATCAAAATGCAAAGCATATATCAGGCCAAATAACAGGCAAACTGCCTGTGGAAAGTTTTGGATCTCTTCCATGACAATACCTCCCTCAAGCACAATAGAGATGGAGATGGGCTCGAGTTGCATTGAGCTTGGACCCTCCTGAGGATTGTCTTCGCTGAGAACAGTCAGCACACCAACAGTGACGGATGATAGGGCCTCATCTCTCGTTGTATCCTGCAAAGAAAAAGACGTTATTTAGACTATCATCGCTACCTATTAGAGTTGGTCTTCCTATGAAAACATTCATGTTCCATTTGCATTAAAGTATTTGCTAAAAAATGTAGCTCAAGTACACACTCAAACTGTGTTGTAACATTATATCCAAAAAGGTGCTGTAAATGTGGTATGAGGAAACTAATGCTATGGATGCATATACAGCTAGGAACGTGCATTTATTTTACACCTCATTTCTAATCTAGACTCCTGGTCATGGAATTTAGTGTACAGTATTTTGAACACACCAAATAAATACTTTTGGCTGCAAGTTTGTGTAAATAGGGGATATGACTTTTCAATAAATGCATACCAAACAGTTTTTTTGTGTCCAAGTACTTACAAAGCATGTCTTGAAGAAATCGTTGGAGTCGTCGCCAAGAACAATCGCAATCCCTTTGAGGACAACAGAGCGCTGTTCAGTCACATCTGGTGTCTAATGATAGAGATAAAGAAGACAAAGATTAGGTTAAATTACAAACTCATAAGATGAACAATGTTGGCCTTTTCCATCTTTTGGAGGGGTTGTTTTAATTATTTTTAGAAGGCTTTTGAAGTAGTACTGTTGGAAAGCCTGCTGACTGTTACTCCAGCGCCCTCTGTTGGCGGCACGCGCAATTGTAACTATTAAGCACATGGAGCGCAGCTGTTAGGAGAAAGGGAGAGAAGCACTTCATGTCGACGGAGCGCAGCCTGGACCTTCAGTGACAAATTAGTGTGTGTGAGCTTTGTGCGTCTCTGACCAACAGTAAGTTAATGTTACTCGCATGGGACCGGACAGTATTAAGCCTTTCACTATTAGTTGTTTTGGAGTTTGCTAACTCCGGTTATTATCAACAAGTTGAGCTAAGCTAACAAAGCTAACGTTAGCACTACGTAGCTGTACTTCTCTCCATCTGAAATGTTATGTTTGACCCTGTTGGCAATGTCTAATGTTTAGATGGCATATTAACCTTTTATACTCTAAGTTAAAGGAATTATCTGTGCAGTATACTTCATTTATATGTGGAAGGGTTATATTACAACCTGCCTGTTGAGCAGTCAATTAGCCTGGTAGAATATGTCATTTAGTACTGTTAATGCGAAAGTTATGCATATTTTCACTGTATAATATATTGGAATAATAGATTCTAATTATACTTGTACCTTTGTATTTCTCTCTTATAGACCACACACATATACATACACTACACCTGCTCCAAGTCTGTAATACTGTGACTGTTGTGTTGATATCTTCAGTCAAAGGAATTAACCGCTACCAAGACTCCTGTGTTCTTACCGACACCCCAAGGCGTTCGTCATTCCGAGTGGAATCTTCATTATACAGTCCTTAACTAATTCCCTACTTTTCATTGGTCCTTCGAGCCGGATGAGACGTTTTCCTTGGATTCCATGATGCAGCCTAGTTTCACATACGGTGAAGCCTCATCAGAATCTACACGTCCTAAGCGGCTAGTTCATCCTCCTCCTTACTTCAGTGACTACGAAGTGAGTTATGTCAGCCAAAGGCAAGCCACTACAATTCCTAGTTATCAACACACAGCACAGTATGCAGTCGGTCCAGAAGAGGACAACCTGAGTGATCCAGGACTTCATCCCTCAGCAGTATCTGCCCAGTCATCACGGTCCTGCAGCCCTTTAAGTCAGGCCAGATGGAACTTCACCTTAGATGGATGGACTCTTTCCACTAATGGAGCTCAGGAGCCTGATCATCATCTGCAGGATGATCATCCTATAGGAGCTAGTGGGCAGCGGAGCTACCCAACCCCTCAATTGGATCCTTCGCCCTATCATCGACCTTGGGAACCATCTTTAACTCCTCATTCCCTACACAGTGTAGACTCAAGACATTATGTGCAGTCAGGCAGTGTCCCTACTGTTACTCCCTATGCAGTCAGGCCAGAGACAGGAAGGAGCCAGTCTCTGCAGCACGACCAAACCCAGTACAGAGATCTACCCCAAGGTCATCAGAGGTCATACACCTTGACCTCTCAAGCCCATAGTGTCTACTCAAAGGATACTGTGATGCTTGACACACTGGATAAGATGATGGGTGAATTACGGCTTTTAAAGGAGGAAACACTATCAGCTTCAGTAAGTCAACCTACAGCTAACCATGTGCCTTATCCTCATTCTAGTCCCCTAACCATGGGTCACTATGACCAAAAGCCTCTCCAGCAGAGTCAGCCATCCACATATACCTACCCCAGGTATCCAACTCATTCACCCCAGCCCCACAACCAGAGAGTATACTATGACCACCAGCCATATGTTGCAGCACAAGAAATAACCTACAGGGGTCCTAGACCTACCATACCTGATCTTACTAAGAAGGACCCTGGTGAGTTTGCACGGCTGAAGATTGCTCTCAATAATCTACTTCCACGGGACGGAACAGAGCTATTCAAGTACCAGATCCTGATGGATCATCTAAAACTATACGAAGCCCGTCTATTAGCCGATGCATATCTTAATTCTCCTACCCCTTACTCTGACACAATGGCAGCCCTGTCAGAGAAATTCGGTCAGCCCCATCAGTTAGCTATCAAGAAGATCGCCAGTGTGATGGATGCACCTGACATCAGACGTGGAGACACAGAGGCCTTTGAGAGATTTGCATTGCAGATTCGTGCTCTCGTCGGTATGCTGAAGATCCTCGGCCAGGAAGGAGAGATGGAGCTGCGATGTGGTTCTCATGTGTCACGTCTCCTTAGTAAATTACCTGCTGAGATGAGGTCTGAGTTTCGGAGATACATGTGTCGTCACCCAGGTACGGTTTACAACCTAATAGAGCTCTCTTGTTGGCTGCAGCTGGAAACCTGGTGCCAAGATAGTGACAGTTATAGCGGTAACCAAGGTCACAAAGAGAAACCCATCCAGAAGCAAGAACATCGGCCACAGTCAAAGTTCATCCCTCGTGCAGCTACCATACTCCATGGCACAGAGGACGTGTCACCACCACCAACGGAGTCATCTACCGGTAGAGCCCCTGCACAGAGCAAGAAGACAGGCTCACCAAAAGCCTACTGTCCTTACTGTGAAGCAGACGATCATTATCTAAGCCAATGTGCCACCTTTAAGTGTTTTGACAAAGCTCAAATCATAGACTGGATTAAGACCAACAAACGTTGTTGGCGATGTGGGAGATCACATCAAGCGGCACAATGCACCCTGAAGAAACCCTGCAGCATATGTCAAGGTAAACACCTTCAGATACTGCACGAGGTCAACAACAGGACTATTAAGGAAGGAACCTGTCTGGTTAGCTCAGCAACCGAAACCCTTCATCTGGAGAAACCATCGGACTCTACCCGAGTTCTCTTGAAAGTCGTCAGAATTATCCTCCGATATGGTGACAAGACGTTGGACACCTATGCGGTCCTAGATGACGGCTCTGATCGCACTATGCTGCTCTCAGCAGCAGCCCAACAACTTGGACTAACAGGCACCCCAGAAGACCTTGCCCTCAGAACCATCCGTCAGGATATTCAGACTCTGCACGGTGCCTCAGTTTCTTTCCAAGTCTCCACTATAAAGCAACCAAAGAAGTATTTCCAGATAGACAACGCCTTTACTGCTCAGCGCCTCGGGTTAGCTGAACATACCTATCCAGTGGCTACCCTTCAGAAAAGGTACAAGCACCTCCAAGACTTGCCTCTACACGGTTTCAGTCGAGTCTCACCCTTGTTGCTGATTGGAGCTGACCAGCCTCACCTCATAAGCCCAGTGGAACCTGTGCGTTTCGGACCACCTGGAGGTCCAGCTGCAATCCATACACGGCTTGGATGGACACTTCAAGGGCCGGCACAGATTCTTCAGTCCCAGTTACAGCCTCACCAATGCCTTTTTACATCCCTCAGCCCACTTGCAGTCGAGTTGCAGCGCAACGTGGAGAAGCTGTGGCAAGTTGACACCCTGCCTTACAGGTCTGAGAAGGAAGTGACCAGGTCTAAGGAAGACCAGGAATCCGTTAACCTACTGGAGGCTAAGACAAAGCGACTAAACGTGAATGGAGTGCTTAGGTATGCAACACCTATCCTAAGGAGAAAGGAAGCACCACTACTCCAGGCATCCAAGGAAGCAGTAATGCCAAGCCTCAGGAGTACAGAGAAACGCCTGGCTAAAGACCCAGAAAAGGCAGCTGACTACAACGCAGAAATCCAGAAACTTGTAACCTCCGGTGCTGTAGTAAAACTACCAGCCAAAGCTGTCTCTCAGAGCAAGGAAGGTTGGTTCATACCACATCACATGGTCCATCACAATGGGAAGAATAGAATAGTGTTCAACTGCTCCTTCCGCTACAAGGGACTTAACCTCAACGAGTCTCTTCTACCTGGTCCTGCCTTGAGCGCCTCCATTGTTGGTGTGCTGCTGCGCTTCAGGGAACACACAGTCGCTATCAGTGGAGACATCAAGGGGATGTTTCATCAGGTCCGTCTCCTGCCTGAAGACAAACCCCTCCTGAGGTTCCTGTGGCGGGACATGAGGAGAGAAGAACCACCTGACATCTACGAGTGGCAAGTACTTCCCTTTGGGACCACGTGCAGTCCATGTTGTGCCTCATTTGCTCTTAACCAACATGTCATCCTGCACAGTGAACCTGGAGAAGACGTAAGATTTTCAATCGAACGTTGCTTTTACGTGGATAACTGCCTGCAAAGCGTTCCTTCAGTCGGTGAGGCCCAGCAGTTAGTCAACAAGCTACGAGAGCTTCTGGCATCAGGAGGATTTGACCTCCGTCAATGGGCTTGCAACAGGCCGGAGGTCATCAGCCATCTCCCACCAGAGGCACGCTCGGAAAAGCTGGAGCTTTGGCTGTCACATGACAAGGTTGGTGCACATGAGTCAACGCTGGGACTGAGCTGGCACTGTGACACGGACACCCTCGGTTTTAAGAACAGAGTCCTTAACCATGGACAACCTACAATGAGGATGATCTACCGAACTCTGGCAAGTCAGTATAACCCACTCGGCTTCATAATGCCCTTCACTACCAGAGCCAAGATCATAGTACAGCGGCTTTGGGACAAGCCCAGAGATTGGGATGATCCCCAGCTACCTGAAGATCTGCTGCTGCAGTGGAATACCTGGGAGGAGGAGTTGGAACACCTGCCAGAAATAGCATTACCCAGATGCTATACACCAGAGAACATGGACAGACAAGAGGTGCTAAGAGAAGTACACATCTTTTGTGATGCTTCAGAGCGAGCCTACTGCTCCGTGGCCTACTTACGATCAGTGGATCCCCATGGGGAGGTACACGTATCTTTCATCATGGCCAGGTCACGTGTGGCACCAACAAAGCAGCTCTCTATCCCCCGGCTAGAACTGTGCGCAGCTCTCACTGGCGCCCAGCTGAAGAAGCTACTTCAGGCCGAGTTGACACTCAAGGTGGAGGAAGTCACCCTTTGGTCCGATTCAACTACAGTACTCAACTGGCTTCAATCCACATCCTGCCACTTCAAAGTCTTCGTCGGAACCAGGATCTCAGAAATCCAAGACATCACAGACTGTAAAGCCTGGCGATACGTGGACTCAGCCAGTAACCCAGCCGATGACATTACCAGAGGCAAGACGCTAAGAGAGCTAGCAAACCCAAACAGGTGGAGCCAGGGGCCAGCATTTCTACTCCTGCCTCCAGACGAGTGGCCTTCCTACACGTCGTCAAACACCACAGATCAACTGCAGGAGGTTACAGAGTTAAAGCGTTTTGCCATATGTGCTATGGCCATCTCCCAACCAAGGGCATCGACTCCAGATGTCACACCGTTCCGTACTTGGAGTGATCTAGTGGAGGCCAAAGCCAAGGAACTTCACGGGGTGGCCAGGCTTGGTGACTCATCGTCAACTGACTCCCCTACAGCAGAGATGTACACCAGGGCAGAGCAGAATGTTCTTAAACAAGTTCAGCTGGACAGCTTCACAGACGAATACCATCTGGCAAGCCTATCCCTTCTAGCAGTCGTCTCCTATGCCTCGCGCCTCAGTATGACATAGACGGCGACCTTATCAGAGTTGGAGGAAGACTCCGGCAGGCAGAGGACCTTGATCCGACAGTTATGCACCCAGTTGTACTTAACCCCAGCCATTCGTACACCAAGCTCCACATTCAACATGTTGATGCTCTTCTCTGTCACCCTGGACCTGAGAGAGTGTTCGCCGAGCTTCGCCGCACAGTATGGATCCTGCGTGGACGAGAGGCTGTTAGGCGGCACCAGCACAGCTGTACCGAATGCCGTAGATGGAAGGCAAAACCTGCTTCCCAACAAATGGCTGACCTACCCGTGGCCCGCCTCAGGCTATTCAAGCCTGCCTTTTACTCAACTGGCATGGATTGCTTTGGCCCCTTTCTGATCAAAGTGGGACGACGCAGTGAGAAGCGGTGGGGTATTGTGTTCAAGTGCCTCACCACAAGGGCAGTTCACATTGACCTACTTACCTCTGTCGATACAGACTCCTTTTTAATGGCCTTCAAAAGGTTCATTGCCAGACGCGGAAGGCCATCAGAAGTCTACTCCGACAACGGAACCAATTTCAAAGGTGGACAAAGGGAGCTCAGGGAAGCATTCGCCAATATGTGTCCAGAGCTCCAGCAGCAACTGGCGAAGCAACGGATCAGTTTTCGCTTTAACCCACCAGCAGCACCACACTTCGGTGGCGTGTGGGAACGAGAAATTCGCTCCATCAAGACTGCTCTGTACACTACCATTGGCTCTGAAAAGGCGAGTGGTGAAGTGCTCATGACAGTTCTTACTGAAGTTGAGAGCATCCTAAATGCAAAACCCTTAGGGTATGTTTCTTCCGACGTGGCTGAGGTTGATCCTGTGACCCCTAACTTCCTGCTCATGGGTCGAGCTGACAACTCCCTGCCCCAGGTGGTATATCCTGCATCAGAACTGCTAGGGCGGCGAAGATGGAGACATTCACAGATATTGGTTGATCGTTTCTGGTCTGCCTTCGTGAGACATTATCTGCCTAGCCTTCAAACTCGAGGCAAGTGGCAGAGACAAACGGAAGACATCAAAGTAGGAGCAGTTGTACTGCTTGTCGACCCACAGCTTCCACGAGCATTATGGCAGATTGGGCAAGTGACCAGAATATTTCCTGGGCCAGATGGTCACATCAGAACAGCAGAAGTGAAGATACAGGACAAAACCTACACCCGGCCTATAGTTCGTCTTATTGTCCTCCAAGAGATCCATGACGAGGACAACAAGGGACCAGATCCCTCATCTGAGTAGTTAGCCTTTCCATGGAAGCCAATTTGCACCGCAAATTGGGGGGCGGCAATGTTGGAAAGCCTGCTGACTGTTACTCCAGCGCCCTCTGTTGGCGGCACGCGCAATTGTAACTATTAAGCACATGGAGCGCAGCTGTTAGGAGAAAGGGAGAGAAGCACGTCATGTCGACGGAGCGCAGCCTGGACCTTCAGTGGCAAATTAGTGTGTGTGAGCTTTGTGCGTCTCTGACCAACAGTAAGTTAATGTTACTCGCATGGGACTGGACAGTATTAAGCCTTTCACTATTAGTTGTTTTGGAGTTTGCTAACTCCGGTTATTATCAACAAGTTGAGCTAAGCTAACAAAGCTAACGTTAGCACTACGTAGCTGTACTTCTCTCCATCTGAAATGTTATGTTTGACCCTGTTGGCAATGTCTAATGTTTAGATGGCATATTAACCTTTTATACTCTAAGTTAAAGGAATTATCTGTGCAGTATACTTCATTTCTATGTGGAAGGGTTATATTACAACCTGCCTGTTGAGCAGTCAATTAGCCTGGTAGAATATGTCATTTAGTACTGTTAATGCGAAAGTTATGCATGTTTTCACTGTATAATATATTGGAATAATAGATTCTAATTATACTTGTACCTTTGTATTTCTCTCTTATAGACCACACACATATACATACACTACACCTGCTCCAAGTCTGTAATACTGTGACTGTTGTGTTGATATCTTCAGTAAAAGGAATTAACCGCTACCAAGACTCCTGTGTTCTTACCGACACCCCAAGGCGTTCGTCATTCCGAGTGGAATCTTCATTATACAGTCCTTAACTAATTCCCTACTTTTCAAGTACCATATCGTCATCAATGACAAGTGACACAAAGTTGCTAAGTTATATTACTTACCACAGTCAGTTTCTGTCCAACCGATCCTTTCTTTGATTTGAACAGTTGGATGAAACGTGGGGTGTGCTGGTCCAGAGCCTCAAAGAAGTCTGCCTCAAGGTTCCTACTGGTAACGCGATTAAATTCGACAAATACCTGAACAAGTAGAGAAGGGGGTGGGGTAGGAGATGGAAAACCAGCACATTAGGAAGACATCTGATGTTCTTTGCTTTTGTGTGAATTAAAGGTGGAATAAACATTGCTCTGAAAGTTACAGCCTTGATATGGACAAGTCACCTTTTGCTTCAACTTCAAATGTCTTCGCAAATGTGTAAAAAAGTCTGCTTGACTGCAAGGCTCTATAAAGCCGCATAGCTGACAGTGGAACGCTGTTTCACTCACTTTCTCGATATCCTTAAAGCCCCTGTCACACTGTCCCGAAATTGACACCCGATGGACACACGATAAAGGAAATGTTCAAATTCGGCTCTGATCGTAACAACATCGCGCCATTCGTGAGGGCATCTTAAGCCATCGTATGACTGTCGGTGGAGTTTCTCAGGCTCTGGCAGCAACTTCGTGAGCGGCAACTTCGTAAGGCACTCGTGAGGGCATCTTGTCGAATCGTGTTATCATCGGTGCCATCGGGCATTCGCCTTCACTCTGATTGGGGCGAATGCCCGATGGCACCGATGATAACAACATGCCCTCACGATGGCCTTACGAAGACACACAAATTCAACACGAAAATGAACCTTCGGCAATTTTTTGGCATGCCAAAGATTTTCCCACCGCTCACGAAGTTGCTGCCGGAGCCTGAGAAACTATAGGTTACTTACGTAACCCCAGTTCTCAGAGTAACATGAAGTGAGATGTCTCACTATGGGATGCGCCTCATCGCGGAGCAAACGGAAGCATCAATCTCATTACGCCAATCCTGATTGGCTGGTGATCTTGACGTCAACGTCAGGGAATCACCCCCTATAAGTAGCTTGCGCCACGACGCATGCGTCATTCAAAATAAGCACCTCTTCTCGCTTCACCATAGCAAGGAGGGCCGTCTGGTGAGACATCTCACTTCATGTTACTCTGAGAACTGGGGTTACGTAAGTAACCTATAGTTCTCATTCATAACACTCCGTTCGATGTCTCACTATGGGAAATTGTAGCTCCTGTATTGCCAGACGAGCTTATCTCGAAAATCACCAATCAACCAGAACTTAACAGGTAGAGTCCTGACTCAACAAGGTGCCCAGCACTGCTCGGGCCACGCTTGGAGCGGAGACGTCTAGCCTGTAAAAGCGGACAAAAGTGAGCGGCGAGGACCAGCTGGCCGCTGCACAGATGTCTTGGATGGAAACACCCTTGAACAAAGCCCAGGATGTAGCCAGGCCCCGAGTCGAGTGAGCCCGCAGACCCGAAGGTGCTTGCAAACTCTGACTCGTATAGGCCAAAGCAATTGCCTCCATAATCCAGTGGGAGAGCCGTTGCTTAGTAACAGGCTTGCCCTTGTGAGGGTTAGCCCAGGACACAAAGAGTTGGTCATTAAGACGAAGCTCCTTTGATCTGTCCATATATGTGCGTAAAGCACGGACTGGACACAACAGATACTGCTGCTGTTCCCCGGAGGAAACCAGCGGCGGAGGAAATGCCCTAATGTCAATTGGGGTACACGAACCAACCACCTTTGGTGTAAAGGCAGGGTTGGGCTTCAACAACACTCTCGTTTGCCCTGGGGCGAACTGAGTGCATGAAGGATGTACAGACAGCGCATGGATATCACTGACCCGCTTGGCGGATGCCAGGGCCAGTAACAGCACTGTCTTGAGTGACAGATGTTTCATGTCAGCTCCTTCCAGGGGTTCAAATGGGGTCATTCTGAGCCCATTTAAAACCACTAGCAAGTCCCATAAGAGCACCAGTGACCTGGAGACAGGGAGGAGCCTGCGAGCTCCCTTCATAAAACGGCAGACCAAAGGATGTTGGCTAGCCGTCTTACCCTCAAAGCCCACATGGCATGCAGCAATAGCAGCCAGGTACACCTTGATCGTGGAGAAAGCTCTGTGTTTATCGATCAAGTCCTGTAGAAATGATAAAATCACCCCGACAGGACATTGAAAGGAGATGTGTCCTTCTTGAAGGCACCACTCCTCAAACACCCTCCACTTACAGTCATAAAGAGATCTGGTGGAGGAAGCTCTCGCACTCTGAATAGTGTTTATCACCTTCTGAGGGAGTCCCACTGTATTCAGATTGTACCACTCACGGGTCAGGCCCATAGTGCCCCGCGCTCTGGGCGTGGGTGAAGGATCGCCCCCCCCCCCCCCGCCTTAGACAATCTGTCCCTGCGTAGTGGGGGCTGCCATGGCTGCCCGCACAACAGCTGATATATCTCCGCCAGCCCGTACGTTGCGGGCTAGGGCGGAGCCATCAGGATAAGTGTGTGGCTTTGCTCCTTCACTCTGGCCAGAGTTGGGGGTATCAGAGCCAGGGGTGGGAACGCGTACAGAAGACCCGGAGGTCAATCGTGTACGAGTGCGTCCACGCCTAACCGTGCGTTTAAATCGTGCATTAAAGAGAACAGCTGTCATTGAGCATTTTCTCTTTATGCGAACAGATTTAACGCGGCTCTGCCGTAACGCACCCACAGCGGACTCACGATCCTTGGATGTGGAGTCCAGTCTGCATAGAGTGGTGCACCTCTGGACAGTAGTTCTGTCCCGAGGTACATCACTCCTGGTACATGCGTCGCTCTCAGAGAGAGGAGACGTCTGCCGCTCCAAGGGATCAGTTTGTGTGCCAGTGTGTGTGACTGGAGACAACGCAACCTCCCTTGGCGGTTCATACACGATACTGTGGTCGTGTTGTCTGTCCTCACGAGTACATGGTGTCCTCTGAGAGA